TGATTAATTATGAGCTGGGGCTGTTGGTCTTACCATGACTAAACCCTGGAGTTCAGGAAAGCTGAGTTTTAGCTTGAAAAAATACCAAGTGGGATTCCATAACAGGACAAAGCACTTAAGATGCACGGGAATATCTCAAGAAGGATTTACTTAAGAAAAAAAATCACAAAGAATTCCAATGAAAATATTTCATTTTTTAAAATAAAATGAGGAGTTATCTTGGCTTAGTGGGAATATACAATCACAAACTAATTCAGGGCAGGACAAACATTTTGCTTCATATTCTAAAGCTCAGGATGATAGGAGCTCAATTCCATGTGCAGAAATAGGTTGGACTGGCTGTTAAGTCTTACTTCAACCTTAGCCATGACAGTAATTCCTCCCAGTGCACCTGAGAACAACAGGTTAGCATAGGAAGTAGGCAGAGGTTACTTAGTTTTTTTTTTAAAAAAAAAATATATTCACCATTCCATTTAACAGTTCAATATGCAATATGACTATTTGGCTCAATATTTAGACAACAACTAAAGCCCAGCCCTCCTTACTGAAATGTTATCGGCAGAGTGGCCAGTATGGTGTCATGGACTAGGCATGGGAGGCCAGAGTTTGAATCTCTGCTCAGCCATGGAAATCCACTGGGTAACCTTGGGCAAGACACACTCAGCCTCAGAGGAGGGCAAGGGCAACCCCCTTCTGAATGCATTTTGCCAACAAAACTTTGTGACAGATTCACCTTAGGGTCACCATAAGTCAGAAATGACTTGAAAGCACATAACATACATACATAAAGAGTGACCACTATTTAGGGATTCCAGAGTAGGCCATGAGGCCTAGAGATCCACACTTTTCATTGTTTGCTTATCTCCTGTGGTGGCACATGGTTCTGGTGTCAGTCAGGCAAAGTGTGGAAGAAATCACATTATCTAGCAGTCATTCAAATGAGCACAACCAGGGTGGTGGTTCAGAAGAATGAAGTGGTCAGGAGAGAAGAGCAGAAGAATAGCTGCCTGAAACATCTGCATAATTGATGTCCCTAAGCAGAAAATAAATTAGCAATGTGATGTGGCTGTAAAAATAGGGGTTGGTTGGTTGAGGAAATAATATGATTTTAGACAATATGATTTTAGACAATATGAGTTAACCAAGATAAAAGAAACCCTCTGACCTTATCTAAGGTAAGTTAAGTTTTGTGTGCTACCTTTTTAAGAAGGATGTAGACACAGTGGACTAGTTCAGGAGAGAAAAAGATGGTCAGGGCTGTGGATAACAAGCCCTACTTTAGGAGGAACTGGTTATGTTTATTCTGAACAAGTGTAAATGTGGGTGATGACACAAGAGAATTCTTCAAATACTGCCACATATGTGTCTATGTGCCTTCAAGTCACCTGTCAACTTATGACAACCTGAATTTCATAGGGTTTTTTAAGGCAAGGAATTCTCAGAGGTAGTTTTGCATGTTCCTTCCTCTGAAACAGAGCAACTTGACTTCTTGGTCCTGGCACATTGGAAGAACAAATGTTTTGAATGCAAACAGTTTATGGAATTGGATCTCATGGACAGAAAAGACTAGAAAAGGGCTTCTTATTCTTCTTGAGAATTATTTGCTTGATCCTCCTGAGCATTCAGTACAGTTGGCTTGGTCCTCCTGAGCATTCAGTACAGATCCCCCTGAACATTCAGTACAGTTGGACCTCCATATCCATGGATTCTTTGTCCATGGATTCAACCATCTACAGCTTGAAAACATTCCAAAAATACATAAATTCCATAAAGCAAACCTTGATTTGTCTATTTTATATAAGGACCACCATTTCACTATGTCACTATATATAATGGGATTTGAGCATCAACAGATTTTGATATTTACAGGGGGTCCTCTAACCAAATCCCAGTGGATACCAAGGGCCTATTGAATATGCCAATATTCTTTGGTTGTCCTTCAGAGGTGATTTAGGGCTTGCTTCTCATTCCTGCCTCCTTGGTTGTCCTTCAGTTCCGATTACTGGCTTTGTGCCCTGACTCTGGACTCATCTCAGACTGAAGACTACAGCCAAGTGTACCCCTGACAGTCTGAAATCTTAAGAAACTGTTGCCATCAGATCATAATGGACTGGTTGGAGCAAAAGTCTGACTTGGTATAAGGCAGTTACATATATGAAAAAAATATATCAAAGTGTTCAACTCTGGTTTTTAACAAGAGGAAAAGTGGAACAGCAAAAATGAGAGCACAACAGAGAAAATAGTATTTATCTTGAATTGATACAAAATAACATTATCTTTTGAGCTTCCACCCACTTAAATCAATGGAACTCTTTCAGAGATAAGGCAATGGCCTCTTCCTTCAAGAGAATATGAGAAAATATGTTTTAAAAATCCTGTTATTCTGCACAGTTTGTTGAATCATCTCTGCTTTTAAATTCTTATTGCCTCAGGCTGTTAGATCAATCTATTTTTTTTCTCTGTGACTAGTTTACATCCAAGATATGGAGAACAAAGAAACTATTGGTGTGATCTGAGTTTAAAGCAGTAAGTCATGGATGTCACACTTGTAGTCACACTGTAGTTAACATTCAGCTGTTTTTAGAAATAAAGGGGATTTTAATGTATTTTAACATCACAGAGCTTTCTCCCTACTACTGCTCTTGTCTTTAGGAAAAGAAACAACTGAAACATGCAAATATTGATAATTCTTGTAGAGATGTATGTGCGTATGCACATGTAATTATCAGCTTTATTTTTTGGCATATACTTCATTTCGAAACAAAGCTATTGATCATACTTTAGGTTCAAAGCGTCCCTGGAATTTCCCAATTCCTTCTGTTTGCTGCTACCACCAAGACTTATAAGTGAATGAACTAATTAGAACTGTCCTTTATAATTACGTTTATGATAATGGCACATTGTTCTTCCATGTGAGTTTTATTTCTCTGCTATAAGCTGAACTGGTTACTTCGGATTATACCACCTGCATTCTGATATATGGAAAGGATGGTGTGATAAGACTGCCTTATCCAAAGGTTGTCTGAGATTACCCTACAAGGAAATTTCATGGGTAGCCCTGTGGATGGCTATTATAATAATGTGCTAAAGGGGGACCTTCAGTGTGACTCTATATCAGTTTTGGAGGTTCAAACAATGGAAAAGGACACAACTTCATGCACTGCTTGTTATTGTTGTTGTTGTGTATCTTCAAGTAGTTTCTAACTTATGACGACCCTAAGATGGGGTTTCCTGGGAAGATTTTTTTTAGAGAAAAATAGCCATTGCCTTCCTCTGAGGCTGAGAGTGTGTGACTTGCCCAAGGTCACCCAATGGCTTTCCATCATTGACATGGGATTCGAAGCGTGGTCTCCTAATGTCCTATTCCAACACTGAAACCACTATACCATGGTGGCTCTCATACCATGCTGCTTATAGGCTTACTAAAAGTAGCTGCCCTGCCACTGTTGGATGTTGGAGTAATGTGCTTCAACTCACAGACAACTGGGTGGATCCTACGTGTTAGTTGTTGTTACACACATTTCTGATTTATGGTGACTTTAAGGTAAACCTATCATGGGGTTTTCTTGGCAAGTTCCTTCACAGGGGGTTTGCCATTGCCATCCTTTGCAGCTGAAAGTGTGTGACTTGCCTAAGGTTGCCCAGTGGGTTTCCATGGTCCAGTCAGGGTTTAAACCCTGGTTTCCATATTCATAGTCCAATGCTCAAGCCACTACGCTACACTGTACATTTTTAGAAATAAAGTGGGAAAGGACTCAGTATTTTTAGCAATTTTAGTATAATCACCTCTATTGCTTTAGTAACTGTACCTGTTACAGCATTATCTTTTCTCCTGCCATTGTCTAGCTATTTATAACTCAATCTTCTGATTGGTCTTTTCTGTCAGTAACAGAGGCCTTAATTCTGCTGCTGCTTTCAGTAAAAAAAAAAAAGTTAAAAAAGGTTGACCCTTCAGTTGCTTTTGTTCATGTCCCTTTTAGTACACATCCCCTTGTTCTTGTATTTGACACAAGTCATCTGACATTTCTCCTTTTCTGTTCCCTTCAGATAAGTGTTGTATAATATGATGAGGTCCAACCTTAACCTCCTATTCTTTTTTAAAAGACGTGACCTAGTTTCTTTGACTTTTTTTGGTATAAGTATCTCTAGTCCATTGAGGCTAGCCTCAGTCAGACTTTCTCTGTCTTTCAATAATTCTACTTACTGGTTTCTTTCTATAAATAACAGGGAGCTCAGAATTTTGTGTTTATCCTTCAAATGTGGAACTTATTGTTTTGTTCTTTTTCATTATCAGCTTTCTGGTATATGCATTTTTTTTTAAAAAAAATACTAAGCCCTAATGTTATTGTCTTCATCTTTCACTAGTGTGAAACAAGGCAATTGGGCAACAGCAGCTGGCATCCTGTTAGTGAGTTTCAATGGTGTAAATTCAATTTATACCATTATAGCTTCCTTATTTTGGTCATTGCACAGGTTAGAAGTGTGTATTAACTATGATTACTGTTCTTGTTCTGTGCGTTCAAGTTGTTTCTGACTTACAGAGTTTGTAATGCAGTGGCTCAAGTAGTTAAGATGCTGACTCTGTTGATTGCAAGATCGGCAGGTTGGTAGTTTGAGGCCCAGGTGCTGCATGATGGGATGAGCTCCTGTCACTAGTCCCAGCTTCTGCCAGCCTAGCAGTTCAAAAGCATGCAAATGCCAGTAGATAAATAGGTATCACTTCAGTGGGAAGGTAAACAGTGTTCTGTGCAGTCATGCTGGCCACATGATCACAGAGTAGTCTCTGACAATGCTGGCTCTTCAGCGTAGTAACAGAGATGAGCACCGCCCCATGGTCAGACATGACTTGACAACCTTGTCAATGGGAAATACATTTCCCTTTCCCTTTAAGGCCATATCACGGGGGTTTCTTGGCAGAATTTGTGCAAAGGATGTTTACCTTTGCTTTCCTCTGCAGGTGAGAGAATGTGACATACCCAAGGTCATCCAGTGGGTTTCTTTGGCTGATCCAGGATTTGAACCTTGGACTCCACAGCTGCAGTTCAGTGCTCAAACCGCTATGCCATGCTGGCTATCCTGACTGTGCAACAACCAACCAAACAAATCTTTTCTTTGCTATAACCTCCCCCCCCCCACACACACATGGCCCTCTCCTAGCTGGTGGAAATTGGGGGGAGTGTCAGAGAGGCATCAAACTGTTTTCTTATAACTGGATGCACAGAGACAGGCCTTCTCTGGGTCCAAGGGTCTTCCAGATGTCCCAGACATTGTTGGTGGGGGGTTGGAAAGCATCATAGGCATCCATGTGTGATATGTCCCTCAGTGCAGGATCTCAGCTAGCATTTTTAAAATACATGAAATGAAATGGAATAGCCTCCCCATCTTAGCACTATCTAGATGCCCTGACTACATCTCATCAATCACACAGGCCAGAAATTGTGGGATTTGTAATGCAACATGTCTGGAGGGCACTTGGATGGAAAGGGTTGTGATAGAGTCACATCCCTGCCAGTTTTCATTAACAAGAGCCCAAAACATGCTGTTACTACTCGTAACGCTATTCTAAAACAATTTTAAAACAATATATACCAGATGGATCTCTTGACTCCATATTTTCATTCATTTCTCAGCAAATTCTGTTTTTTCTTTCCCAAATTCTTTAAATAAATAAAGGGCTCCGTTAATCTTAATCTTTGCCTTGTACTACACTTCTTTTGTAGTATAGGGCAACATTTTTCCTTTTTTTTTTTTTTTAAAAAAAACCACAAACTTTGTTCTTAATCTATCTGGGGGTATGAAAAACTTTGAGGGAGAAACAGCATGGGTTGGGCACATTAATTTAGTCCCCTCATAAAGTTATTATTTTATTTACAATGGATAAAAAAAATAACCTGATATATAAAACCAGCAGTCCCAGCCCAACCAATTATCTTGCCTCTTACTCTTGCCTCTTATCACGGTAGACATTACCGTGATATATGGAGGGAGGAGAACATAATACAAGATTTAATAGAGCCAATTAGTAGATTTAACATAATTTAACATCTAGTAATCCTAAATACAAAGATATACAATTGAACACTAAAGTGAGGCTTGTTCATGCTGTCATATTTCCCATCACTATGTATGGATGTGAGAGCTGGATGGAGAAGAAAATTGATATAAAGAAGGTCAAATTTGAGTTGTGCTGGAGAAGAGTTCAGCAGATACCATGGCTGGCTAGAAAGACAAACAAATGGGTACAGGAGCAAATCAGATCTGAACTTTCCCTAGAAGCCTAAATGAATAAATTGAGGCTGTCATATTTTGGCCACATCATGAGAAGACATGACTTACTAGAAAATATGATAATGCTTGGAAATATAGAGAGCAACAGAAAGAGAGGAAGACCACATACCAGATGCATAGATTCAATCAAAGAGGACACATCCCTACATTTGCAGGTACTGAGCAGGTCCATTGTGGACAGGGAGTCTTGGAGATGCCTTATTCAGATAGTTGCCAGAGGTTACCATTGACTAGATGGCAGTTAACAACAACATTTGTATTCTTTTCTATATTTCTGTTCTGATGAGATTGTGTGTTCCAGTGAGGCTTGAGGTTATACTGTTAATAGCACTGCTGCTAGTGGGGTCAAACAGAATTTTGCTGAAGAGCCAAATGTGCCAAACAGTTACTGGGCAGCAGCAGCAGTACATACATGTGATATTGGCAGAGGATTTCTCAGAGACAATTGCAGTGGCACAAAATGTGATTCTAAAGGAGTTAATACTGTGCAGAAGAAGGCAATGGTAAACTATGCCTGAAAACTCTGTGATAAGACAATCCAAAATGAAACAAGAGAGAGTGCCAGGAAATGAGACTCCCAGTTGGAAAATATTTATTCAGCTATTGGGAAATAGCAGAGGACATGTAAAACATGATGCATCTGGACTCAAGCTGAATGGACATTCAGCTGCTGAAGCATGCAGAGGTGGAAGTAAAGTCCAAAGCTGCACAATATATGCAAAATGATTTCAGAAGGCAGAAGAGGTCCTCAAGAGAAATCACTCTGTACTCAGAAAACTAGCCTCTTGCAGGGAGAAGTTCTACCTTTCTTTGTGACATCCTAGTTTGCCATGTGGAAGGCATATTTTAGTTTTACTGCACTCCATGGAAGCTCCTGCTTGCATTTTTAAAAGCTACATTCCCACTCACTGCTAGCATGTAAAATAGTTCTCTGTCTATTCAGATTCATGGTTTTCATAGAAAAACTAATGTTAGAGAGGAAAGCAAGTCACACTGTTAACATTTTACTTTATAACAATAATGTTTATTAGTTTATTTTACGTTTTAAAAAAAAGAATGCCCTGATTTGTACTATCATTTTGTTTCTCAAGGCTTTTTTTTCTTTTTGCCACAAACATTGCCTGATAGAAACACAAAATCTACTGAGTGCCATTACCAGACTAACGTCTGACAGAAATGTCAACCGTATAAGTTATTGGTCCTGTCCTCTTGAAACCCTTGGATATGTTCCCCAAGTCAGTCTTTTATAGAGATATATTATCTCTGTGAGAATTTCTTGTCAAACTATGTTAAGTAAATAAAGGAGAGGTGAAACATCAGCAACAAAGTTAACAAATGGAGCCAAATGTTACACTTGAAAGAACAAATCCAGCTGTTTACCATGCTAATCCAAAATGAAATGAAAATGTGGGTTTTTCATCTTTTCGGTGGGAGATCTTTTATACAGGTAGGTGCAAGTCCTAGCATTTTCTGCTTATTTAATGCAGTGATGTGTATGTTGGAATTGGAATACTGTAATCTGTTAAAGAGAAAGAGAGAGAGAAAGGTTTTTTGAATTTGTGTTCTGAAAAATATGTAGTATCACCAGGGAATGAAATGCCTTCATAGTTTGACATTCAGATTCTGACAGGTTTTTCTCATCTCAAAATCAACTCACCTTCACTATAACTTAAATATAAATTTTAGGGAGCTAGCATATGGTTTTAAGAATAAGAACAATATTTCATACTCTTGTTCTCAACATGAGTATCACAGGCTGGTGGAAATAATAGCAATTGCCAATCTATAGTAGTCTAGTCCTCAGAAGGTGCAGTAGATTTCTTAATAAGATAGGCCTCAAGGGTTAGCCTAAGTTTTTAATGTTAATGTTAACCATAGAAGGAACAAATCTATTACAATTTTTATTTTTTCTGAGCTGCTTGAATGCAGTCCCTAGAGGAATGAAGGACTCCATACAGTCCACTTACAATAGACACATTTATATGAGGACATGTTTTTGTGCCTGCCAAATATGATTTTTGCTATCCTGATTATGGAAATCAGTGGGGTGATGTAATGCTGGTGATGATGGGGCATTGCATATGATCCAGTAGTTTTAAGACTACACATAATCTGTATATGTTCCCCAATGTAAATAGTTATGTATCTGTGCATGTATGAACAGATGCTTGTTTTGGGTGAGCAAATGTATGGGTTTCTGAGTATGTGTTTTAATACTGAGGGTGCAAATAGATGTATATGTGTGTGTGTGTGTGTGTGAGAGAGAGAGAGAGAGAGAGTTACCCAAAATGCTAGGGTCCCACGAGGGCACCTACAATTAATATTTACATGGGGGAATTTAATTAGCTGAAATAAAAAAATAGCTGAGAGGGCCTGGGCAACTCAAAGCGGGGAACAATCCTGTGTATACAGGTTTGGAGAAACAGAATTCCAAAGTGTAATTTCAAAAGTATTTTTATTTAAGATTCAAAGATAATCACCATCTATGCAAAGACACTTACTCACACACATATTCAAGGAGTAGCAAAATCAAAGGTGGCAACAGATAGCGACTTACAGGATTGCAGAGTGAAATACTGCACCAATTCCACAACTCCATTTGAGAGATACTGTGAAGTGAAAACGGCTCAGCAAGCTTTCTTAGGATGATTGCGTAGCCAGCTGTGCTGAGGAGTCAAGTGAGATATGGACAGAGTATCTGTCTGACCTTAAATGAGACCGAATTGGTACTGCCAAGTGGGCATATTTATAGTGCAAAACCTGTCCCAGGGCAGAATTCACGATTAAGGGGTAGTTTTCAGGAGGGAAGAATGGAAGTGGAAGTTGTGAATGGCTGGACAGTCAGCACAAATGTCCTTGGACAAAGGAGTATTGCTTCCAGAGGGAAATGTACTTGGATTTCTGTTTACTTGTAAATTAAAGGTTTATCACCCACCACCACTCCTATCAGTTCAGGGATTATGCAGACTCTAATCTTGATCAATCTATACTTGGTTTCAGGTCTTGAGCTCCCCTATGCTGAACCTCCTCATTATATGGTAAGGCTAGTTTCCTGCATTGGGGCTCCCTTTTGGCTTTATGCTCTAAACATCCCTTTTGATATCAATTTTATATTGGCACAGAAGAGGGGTGTAGAGTACCAGAGCTTGGAGTAATGATCAGACTCTAACATTATCTGGGCAACACAGCTTTTGAAATGCTGTGAAGTGTTCATTGAAGGTAGAAAAGGATATAACCTAGAGGCCTGTCTGTAAAAGAGTTTATTAGGACAGTCAGAAATAGAGGGAAGACCAATTAGGGGGAGGGGAAAGGACAAGACCTGAATTGGGTTTCAAGGAGTTCAAAATGTGGAAAGAGTTCAGAGAGTTCATGTTTAATTTATTTGTTATATAAAAAGTATTGTTGTTATCTTCTTTAACTGTGTCTGTATACATTTAAGAATTGAAAGGGAAAACTGGTCAGACTTTACCACATTGAACCCACTGATCAACACAGCCACTTGTCTAGGTCACCTTGAGCTCCAAGTACCAGACTCATGGAGGGAACATGAAGGTAAAATGTCAAGGTGAATGTCAGGAGCTCATTAGTTGGAACTGTGCAGTCAGCCTGAATAGGGATTCCATCACAGCCCATGTGCAAGTAATATTTTGCCGCAGAGACCAGGTATGTCACATTTAATTATAATAATAATAATAATAATAATAATAATAATAATA